GCTTATTTTACTTGTTGGGAGTATAAGGATGGACAAATGTGATTTAGCCTAATGGCATGTGGGAGGTAAAAATTTATTTGAAATGTTGTATTGTGTGAGTTGAAGCCAATTATAAAATATTTTATATTAAAATTATTGATATAAAAATGTGTTGAGTGGCTGTAATACAACTATGGTTGAGTTAAATTATTTAAAAAAAAATTGATGTGTTACATTAATCCCTTTGAATACCTTAGATTATGGCTTTGATTGTGTTTAGTATATAGAGATATTACATAAACACATCTGAAAAGCTACATTTTCTACCATTCTTTTCAAGTAACAATACCATTGCAAAGCTACAAACCTATACCTACATCTACAACTTAAAGATCAAAGAGCAATGGGAAATATATTGTGTCTAATGGATACTCTACAAGAGACAAGAAAACTCTACTGAAAGCACTAAATTGATTTATACTTTATGGAGAAGATTAGAAGAGAGAAGGAGACTACTCCAACCACTATTTTAATGAGTCTAACAAATTATTTATCAACTTTAACTATAAAAGGATTCATTTATGAAGAATGAAGCAGAGAAGTAAGCGGCATAAGCTGTGATATTCAATATCTTCCACTATCTCCATTTTTGTTTTTGATATCATTGTACTTCAATGTATTCAACTGTTCAATGAGTGAGTTCATATTAAGATCACTTTATGATATAAAATTTTCTATTATTGATTTGAGTAGACTTAAGATCAAGAGATCTTAAGTGGATGCTAAAATTACTTCTATGAGGGAGACAAAACCAGACTTGTAAGTTTGAGAGATAGTAAGTGGTTTCATAAGTGCTCGAATAGAACTTGTGAGATTTTTATAAAGGAGAGTGATTCAGACGTTGAGTCTAAGATTATATTGTGACTTCATAAGTGCCCAAATTGAACTTTAGGTTATAGTAAAAAATCTCATGAGGTTCTTGGGGATTGAATATAAGCTAAATGGATTGAGCCGAACCAAGATAAATTCCATGTGTATTGCTCTTTATTTCTCTCATCTTCATTAGCTCTATTTATTCTCTCATCGTTCATATTTCAAGTTTTTGAAGTCAAGAACTTTAGGCAAAAAAAAAGACACCCAATTCACCCTCTCTTGAGTGAGGAGCATATCTTACAAATATAAAAACATAAATAACATATTCATCTATATTAAAAATATGTACAAAAAATCATTTTTTCTTCTGTTTGGTAATCAAAATCATTTTATGTTTTTGGTAACAACATATTGTTTTATTTTTACACAAATAACCTAAAAAATTTGTTACTCTATGTATTTTAAAATAAAAAGAATAATTTATCATTTCAAGATATGTGTTATCGCCACATAGTTAAATTTTAAATTTAAATAGTAAAATATTTTATTTTATAATTTGTCACTTAATTTTATATTTTATTCTACAATTTATAATCTTATACATATAAAATCAAAAGAAAAAAAAATTATTTTATTTATAATTTATTATTTTAAGTAAATTAATTTATTTGCATTTTTTATTTTCAGTAAATTACTTTTTATATTTTGTATAAATAAAATTTATAATTTCAATGCTTATCTAATATCTATTATTTTTTACTAAAAATCTTATATTCACTTTCAATTTTTATTATAGATTCTTCTGATCTTTCAAAATATAATAATTTTATTATTTTTAACACCTTAAATAAATTTTTAACATTTACAAGTTAGAATTTATATAGAAAAAGTTCTTCACCATATGTACATAAAATTTATAATTGAATTATGGGTCTCGCACCCACTTTTTTTGATGATGGGTCTCATACCTACTTTTTAAATCATGGGTTATATGGGTTTTTTTTTTTTTTGCTAACAAAATTATACCCTCTTTTTGCACGAGAATGTTTTATTATTTAAAATAAAAAATATAAATATTATTTTAGTATACTTATGACGTAGAGAAAATATATTGCGCTGTTCACTATTTTATCTTAATTTCAGATATCTCTGTTATTTTTTATAAATTAGTTAAAGTATTTCTTTTGTTCTTTAACTTTTCTCAAGTTTTCATTGTAGTTCCTTTTTAAATATACTTACTTATCTAATCTTATTTATAAATTACTTCTAATATGTTTTATGAAAATTAAAGAAAAACTTAAAACTCATTAACTCTATATAAAAATTTAGGAAAAACATACATTTTGGTCCCTGCATTTTGCTCGTATTTTGCTATAGGTCTTTACATTTTTTGTGTGTTCTGAATCCCTACACTTTTATTTTTTTATTATTTTACGTTCATTCAAAATCCTTATACTTTGTTCATTTTATTTATTTAGGAATCTATAACATTAGACAATAAAAGTGTAGGGACTTAGAATACTAAAAAAAAAAAGTGCAAGGATCTATACAAAAACAAGAACAAACTGCAGGGACTAAAATGTATATTTTTTCAAAAATTTAATAACTTTTTAACTTTGCCCCTATTAAATATACATATTTTAATAATATATTTTTTCACTTCAACATTCAATAGAGGATAAAAGAAAAAATTTATAATAAAAATTTAATAATGTGACCTATAAATAGGACAAAAAAATATTTCCTCTCTATCCTATAAATAGGAACAGTAGGAGTAAGTATTATTTAAAATTCATTCAAATTATCTTTAAAACATTTAAATGATATATTGTTTTAAAGTTAAAATTAAAATGAAATGATATTATTCTGCATTTTATTATTCTTGACATGTAAAATTAATTTTTCACTTAATTTTATATTTTATTCTACATTTTTTTGTATGGTAGGTCTCATACCTATTTTTAGAATTAATTAATTTTTTATCTGTGTTATACCCTTATAAATTTAAGTTTAAACATTTTTTATTTTATAATTTTTATTTAAAAATACATTTTATTTTATGAATAAAAACTTGCATCTTTATAATTTCTTATTTTTGTGGATACTAAAAACATAAATAACATACTCATCTATATTAAGAATATGTACAACAAATTATTTTATTTTTATAAAAATAATATAAAAGTTTGTTACTCTTTGAATTTTAAAATACAAAGAATAATTTATTATTCCAAGATATGTATAATATTAATATTTAAATTTAAACAATAAAATATTTTATTTTATAATTTTTCATTTAACTTTATATATTTTATTCTATAATTTATAATCTCATACATAGAAAATTAAAATAAAAATATTTTATTCAGAATTTATTATTTTGAGTAAATTAATTTTTTTATGTTTTATATTTTAAGTAAATTATTTTTTATACTTTTTCTGAATAAATTTTTAATTTTATTGCATATTTAACGCCTATTATTTTTTTTTTGAAAAAAATCTTATATCCATCACCAATTTTTATTGTGGATCTTACATTATCTTTTAAAAAATAAAAATTTTATTATTTTTTACACCTTATCTAAATTTTAACATTTGCAAATGATAATTTATACAATAAAAGTTTTTCGCCCTATGTAAATAAATTTGATTGACTGAATTATGGGTCTCACCACTATTTTAATAGCAGGTCTCATATCCATTTTTTTTTACCATGGGTCTTTATCTATATTTTTATCCGCCAATTTCCTACTTCCCTACTTTTCTTAATTCTTATCTTTTTATTTGATAATAATTGGAAAAAAAAATAAATTAGATCCCACTGTCACTGTTGAAATAACTGTAGATCACCTATGGCAGATTTCTTTACAATATATATGATATGATATATAGAATAAAAATTTAAAATTTAAAAAACTCAATAATAAGGGTATTATAAAAAAATTGATAATTTAGTTGACTTACAACAATTTCTTTTTAATTATAAAGGGGAGAATGGTAAAAAACAAAAAAAAGAAGACAAATAAGTACAGTAAAATATAATAACAATTATTTATACTGGATGTATCCATCATCTTGATTTTTGACAAAAAAATATATTTATCCTAAATGATTATGAAAAAGGACAATTTTAAATTATTGACTAAAATGAAACAGACAATTATTACTTTATTTTTTAAAATTTTATTTATCAGTGAGGTTAAAATACTAAAATTCATAGACCATTAGAGCAAGAAGGGAAAAAACGCAGGTGACGGGAGAAAGAAGATTAACAAATGAAGAGAAAGCAAAGCACGGCAAATGCTTCCCAGCGTGATTTTGAAATGCAACAGCAGGTCCTTTCCCTTTAACGTGGTTTGTAGGGAAACTCAATTTAATAAAACTGCATCTTGTTGTTACCTGAGTTTTGTGGCGTGGTTTGGACTTCAAATTCGGTTCTCGGCCTTCTTAACTTGAATCCAATATCGAAGAACTAGGTTTGGCTTGATGGCTTTAAATATAAGCAGTTTTGTGATATGCAGACATGCAATGTATAGGTAGATGGACTGTGGTGATGAGGAGATGACATATGTTTTGGTGTCACCAATTTCTTTATCTTTAGTTCTCTGTTTTGTTTCTCCTCTTTCTTCATATGTCTATTTAGTGTGGTCCTTTCAGCTAATTTTTTGGAGCTAGATAAGGACGTGCAAGCACAATAATCACCTTTCCTTTACTTCCATCTTCAATACCAGACGCACTATTGAGACTGGTATTCCCACTTTCCAAAGGCAATATCTTTGTCTTCCAATCCAATCAATGGTCGGTTTGGCAAAGTTATGTAGGTTGAATTTGATTGCTTGAACAGAAAAGCTTAAAAAATAGTACGAAAACTTTGAAGGGTTCAAGACTCAATAGGCCAACTTGAGATGGAAATTTTGTCTGGGCTTCTTTGCTAGAACGATCGACTTAACATTCAACAAGTCCCTATTGACTCCCCTAGCTAGAAGCTACCTCTTATTTTTCTTTCAGGTCTATTTCACCAAGTATTCCCTTGTCATCTTCCAAGTCAACTTGCGTATCCAGCGGTTCAAGTAGGACCTGTTGATTATATAATGAGGGAGAAGGTGGAAACACTATTGTCCAAACTAAATTATTATTAGAGAATGAGTCTTTTGTTGGAGTCTGTTAGTGTTTTGCTCATGAAGTGGGGGATTATGGCTTTGGTTTTTGAGTTTCGTTTCCTCTTGATTTCTCACCTTTTTCTTCTTTCAGCTAAGCATGGATATGCGAGCCATGGCAAATGTCCTCTATCGTTTGATTGCGGAAAACTTAGGAGAATCCAGTTCCCTCTCACCACGGCAGAATTTCCGGACTGTGGCTTATTGCTGGTACATGACTGTGATGATCCAAATCCATATTCAAATAAAACGATTCAACTAGAGAAGAATGGAAGACCATTCCTGATTCTTAACGGTGTCTTTCCGCAGCAAAATGTGATTACGGTTTTTGACCAAGATCTACACCATCGTTTGCAATCCCAGGGTTCTTGTGAAGCCTTCAACAACAATATCTCAATTCTTGCAAGCTCCCCTTTGATTTCTTTGGACATTAAATTCAACATAACCCTGTTTAAATGCAACCCCGATCTCAATATCAGCGCCCCCAGTGGTTTCATTAAACATACCTGTGCAGGCTTTCATATCTATCATTACAACCAACTCTATGATCTTCGACCTGACCAAGAAAGCCATTTCTCAGCATGTTCAACTCTTGTGCTTCCTAGAAAAGACCTGCCTGATAGCAAAGACCTTCAATCATTCTTATCTGCTCAAATGAATCTGGATACACGATTATCTGATGATTGTGACAAGTGTTACAACCACGAAGGAGGCCGGTGTAAACTTGACAGTAACAATAAGTTTTCTTGCGACAAAGGTATACTCCCAGAACAACCCTTGTATACATTCTTTCTACTTGAAGGGCTCTTAATGACTTTTGAGACGTTCATGTGGCCTAATTTTCTGAGGCTAAGTGAAATTGTCACACACTACCATACATAATATTTGTCCTAGACATGGTTGTACCAATTTCCCAATTTAAGTGATTTTCTTTGTTATCTATATATGGTAGAAGTTGACCTTTCTTGCCAAGTTCATTATATTTTTGATATTCTATTTCCTTGGACTGCTCCTCTTGACTTCTTCCCTTCCCCACCTCACTCCCAATAAAACATCTTAAAGTTTTGGCTCTACACCAATTTAGTCTTAATACTGTTATGATTTTTTTTTTTTTTTTTGTGATACTTTAAATTGTTCCTTCTTTTTATTGCAGCTCCGCCTGATCCGAGTAAGTTTTGGAAGCTGGCACTGGGACTTGCGCTAGGTAACATACATAATATTTTTTATTCGTTTTTAGCTATTAGCCTTCAAGTTCAATCATTCTCTAATGTTGTACCTAGTCCTCTTTCTAATTTTGTATTTGAGACTCTATGGTCCCACTCTTTTTCCAATTCAAAGTCAGCCTTCTATCTATGTTTCAGAGAATTTCATCCTACCTAGTTAGCTTCTATCATTAAAATATTTCCACCTTGATCTCTTTTGTTAGTTGTTTTCTGATTCGTATATTTTCTTCTTCTGCTGTATTATATTTGCTTTTCTTCCCCTCTTTTTTTTTCAAAAGAAATTGAATTAGAGTTTCTCGTGTAAACTACAGTTGGTTCACCATCCCTTTGGTTCATGAATATCAACTTAACAGCTAACAAGTTGCTTCCTCTCTTTGTTAACTATGATTGAATTTAAGAATTATCATATTAAAAGTGGGAAGTCCACTTTTGTAGGTCTATTTCTTGGGCTTTTAGGCATTTTGATAATTTGGCTGCGGCTTCGACAGTATTACAAACAAAAGCATCCATCTTCAAACGTGCAATTGCAATCAATAAGAAACAATACAATTGATCCATACTCTAATGCAGACTCAGAAAGTGGTAGAATCTACTTGGGTGTACCCCTCTTCTCTTATGAGGAGCTTAAGAAAGCAACAAATAACTTTGATCGTTCAAGAGAATTGGGAATTGGAGGCTTTGGCTCTGTTTACTACGGTAATTCCCTCACGATAATGCTCTTTCTTTTAAAACAAATGGATTATTAACTTGTCTTCTTTTGGGAAGGGAGGGTTCTTTTGATTTCTTAGCTATATCATCTTAGAGGAGTGAGCTAGGACGAGAGATCATATAGGAATTGGATGAGGAAAGAGAAATCTTAAACTGTTTTTTAGATATTCTCTATGGTTCCTTCTCAGAAGAGAAGCTTGCATGAAAAATAACGTTCTTGGTAATCACTTATGCAAAGCTATTTATGTGCTTAATATATTACTTTAGGGCACAGGAATATTAGATACATATCATATAATGATTTATAAAAGCTGAGGGTACTACTATTAAGTATATATCTACTTATTAATTCAAGTTGAATCTTCCTTTTGCCCATTAAATCAATGTGCATTCCTCTGCACCAAAAGGCAAAGATGCAATTAAATGAATGTGATGCTAATAATCAAGTCATTTATGAAACATCTTCCCTTTTGTCCATAACTGGTGCTTTGGTTTTACATAATTAGGAAAACTTCAAGATGGACGTGAAGTTGCAGTTAAGCGCCTGTATGACCACAACTATCGACGAGTTGAACAGTTCATGAATGAAATTGAGATGCTAACACGCTTGCACCATCCAAACCTTGTGTCCCTATATGGCTGCACTTCATGCCATAGTCGTGAACTCCTCCTAGTGTATGAGTACATTCCAAACAAAACAGTTTCCTATCATCTCCATGGTGAACCAGAAAACTGTGGTTTACTACCATGGCCTGTAAGAATCAAAATTGCTAGAGAAACTGCAACTGCATTGGCTTTTCTCCATGCTTCCGATACCATTCATCGGGATGTCAAAACTAACAATATCCTCCTTGACAATAAATTCTCCGTTAAGGTTGCAGATTTTGGGCTTTCAAGATTGTTTCCAGATGATGTCACCCATGTTTCCACAACTCCACAAGGGACACCTGGTTATGTTGACCCAGACTATCACTTATGCTACTAACTTACAAGCAAAAGTGATGTGTATAGTTTTGGGGTCGTGCTTATTGAGCTGCTATCATCAATGCCAGCAGTTGATATGAATAGGCCTAGAGATGAAATAAATCTAGCAAATCTAGCCATAACAAAGATTCAAAAAAGTGCATTGGGCGAGTTGGTGGATCCTTCTCTTGGTTTTGAGTTAGATAATGAGGTGAGGAGGATGATTGTTTTAGTGGCAAAGTTAGCTTTTCAGTGTCTACAAAAGGAAAAGGATTTGAGACCCTCTATGGATGAGGTTTTGGAGATTTTAAGGAGAATTGAAAGTGGAAATGAGGAGCTTAATCATATAGAAGAAGTGGATATTGATGGTGCTGTTGATATATCATATAGTAGTCCTATAGATCTATCATCACCACCTTCTCCGAATTGTGATGAGACTAGATTGTTGAAAAGTATGAAGTCATTGCCTTCACCTATAGCTGTGATCAACAAATGGCATGGTGAATCAACTATAACTTTTGGAAGTGCTTAATAATCACTTATCATGATTATTTATTAATGATCTAAGTGATGACAATAAAGGTTGAGGGTGTAGATATATATATATATATATATGAAAAATTCAAAGTTCTATTTGTAAGAGATAATTACATTAAGATATCAAGTTAATTATATTTGAATTAATTTAATTGTAATAACCATCAGATTATTATGAGTTAATAGGTTTACTTTAGTGACTCCCAATTCATTTCGATTATATTATATATAATAGTTATCTTTTCATTGACAGAGACAATTAACACCACATCTTTCTATAAATAGTTTGTAAATTATAATCCTTTTAGTAATATAAGCTACCTTTAACTAATTTTCTTAATTTTGATGAAATAGTTAAAAGAATTTTATATTTTAAATCGGAAGGAGCACAAATTTATGTTATAGGCACAACGTTTTCTTTTGTTTTGTGTATGTCATGAACTCAAATTATAAAAAACACAATTGATCTTTGTTTAATGTAAATTCTAGCCAGAATACATGGAAAATATAAACTATGGAATAATAGAAACAAGAAATATGGGACGGGCAACCACAAAACTACTAAAGGAATATAAGAAGTTGTAGAAGAGAAGAAATTTCATGATCACAGAGACTATGGCCAGAAAGGAAGAAGACACCAAAGAGAGAGTCATCAAATTCATCCACACCCTTCTTTTTGTAACCCATTAGCTTATGTAGCCATCTTTAAAACCCTTAATCATCTTCTAAGCCCATCTCATACCTCCAGCCCAAACCTTCCTGTAGCTCATCCCAATATCATTACATTTCCCTCCCCTTGAAATTGACCTTGCCTTCAAGGTCAAAAATAGCATGAAAACATCCAAATAGGGGTTTATTGGTGGGTCCAAGCCATTCCATCCAATATAGAAATAATAAATCCAAAAAACTTGGTGTTGAATATATGACGAAGCTCCATCTTGGAGAAGTCCAAAAGGTACGGTATCAACCATAATAAAAAATAGTGAACGTCTAGTTTAGAGTTAGGCATCAATTGTAGTATTGCCATTTGTATGGAAAGAACCTAAAGCTATACCAGGGATACCACATGTCATGTAGGTATCATTTATAATATCCAACATTAGTAAAGCTACAAGTAAGTCTAATGGCACCAACAACATTTTCCCCTTGATAAATGAATTGTTAGAGACACTGTCTTCATTAGATAAGTTGATTCATCCTCATATACAATTTGTTTTCCATTATTGTAAGCATACAAAACATTAAATCCTCTCCAAACCTTGGAACTTGTGTTGGGGAGCTTAACGGGAAAATGGCATATTGATCAAGCAAAATAATAACAAGAAAAGATCATATGAGGAGGGAGCATTTCAATATGATTTAGTGCAGAATAATTTTTATCATGATAGTATTGAACAAACTGGATGACCCATTGCAAACAACTAATTGCAGCATAAGATATTTGAGCCACTCTCTTATTTGATAACAGAGATAAACTAGAGCATCCATGTGGCCTTGAGTTAATGTGTTTCATGATAGTTACATAAATTAGTAAAAAGAGTCCTAACAAAAAACCAAGATTCTCAAGAGAACACCTCTTTTTATCATAGCAACTTTTCCAGTTGATCCAAATAATAGAAATGGATATACAGGGAATTATGCCATTGTTAGAAGCAAGTTGGTGAAAGACCAAAGACAAATGTGTAGCACTCGCAAAAATGAAAAAAGCATTTAAAAATGAGCAATGGAGACACCATAAACATCATAAAAAATGGGAGGATAACTAAGCAAGATCATTGCATGCTTCTTGAAAATTTGAGAATAAAACCCCATTAGTCTTTGATTTAATATGTTGATACTCACAATAGGGTGAAGAGACATAGTTGTCATGGGTTAGGGAAGCACTAGTTCCCAAGTAACAAAGAAATTATGCAGAAGGCAAAAGGCTTTTAGTGTAGACCAAATGCGCCATAAATTGAACCACACCAAATAAGCAACATAGGTAGTAGTGAAAAATGATTTCACGCAAATTTGGCAATGATTTACATATTTTCTAGCAAGTTGGTGCAAGGAAAAAGAGGAGATGTTGGCAAAAGGAAAACTTACATATGCAGAGTAACCATATAGGTCCCATTGTACATGATCTTGAAGGTGAAGCCAACTTGGCACAAATTCACAAAACTCACCAACAACTATTTGAGAGTGTAAGCAACAAAATAGTAACATTAAATTGTAATTGAGTTGCATCAGAGTAACATCAATTGCAACACTGAAGCCATTAAAAGTCTCAAACATGTTCTCCATTACAATCCCAATCAAGAGTGAATTGGTATATAATGTAATAACAGCACCAGGATCAAATATGAAGATAACATTTAAACTATTAACTTTTAACTGACTAATTATCGAATGAAATGGAAGGAGATAAAATGGTTACAGGGATGCCACCTCAAGAACCTTGCATTGGATCGCCAATGGGCCCCTGTCAATGATGTCATTATTCATAGCTTTATTCCTCACATTACTGATAGAAGTGGCAATATCCATAAATCCTATAAAAGACTATTCAACTTTCCATTGGAAAAATAAGGAGGCTTTTAAATTTGAACAAAGTAGAGAGCCACTGAGAAAGTCATCGAACAACATGTAATTCTAAAGACGACTGATGCCAGGATCAAATACTTGAAGCTTATTAGAATCACGGCCAACAAATCTCTACTAGGTTAGTCGAGGGGGCACAAAGCTAGGTAAGATGAGTCGGGCTTCATTGCGGTAGATGAAGCTAACCCAATCTAAAATTGAAGAGGTCCTCATTTGAAGTTGATTTTGAGTGTCCCTTAGTTCTACCTTTCACACAGTGTCTTGCATAAGTGGTTGATGTGAGTATACACTAATGGTAGCTATAGTGTTATGGACTAAAGAAATCATTGAGGACTTAAAGGTCGACTCAATAGGAGTAAGTTCCTTTAAAATAGTATCGATAATTCCATTATCAATAGACTTGGACACCTTGTAATCATCAATAATTACTACCTCATCGGATTTGTAATCCATGATGAGAAGCTAAGAAGGCAACTGTAATTTAGGAAGAGGTTTATCAAATTGCCGAATAGCACATTGAATATTGAGCTTCATTGCAAATATGTCAAACTCTGAAGTTCTAATGGCAGATTACTAAGGGTACTACTCCATATTCTATAATAGAGAATCAAAAGATTGCAACACCCTAAGAACAGAGGCCTCTAGTCGATCCAACCCAGAATCCATTATAGCTTGCCAATGTTTCATCAATTTCACAATTAGCGAAACCTCTAATTCGATTTCCATAAAAAGCTTATTTTCAAACTTTGCAACTAAAGAAAGACTGTCCATTATAGTAGTAGGAGATCCTCTCAATGAAAGTACCATTTGTCATGAACTCAAATTATAAAAAACATAATTGATCTTTGTTTAATGTAAATTCCAGCCAGAATACATGGAAAATATAAACTATGGAATAATAAAAACAAGAAATATAGGAGGGGCAGCCACGAAACCACTAAAGGAATATAAGAAGTTGTAGAAGAGAAGAAATTCCATGGTCACATAAACTATGGCCAAAAAGGAAGAAGACGCCAGACGGAGTCACCAAATTCATCTATACCCTTCTCTTTGTATCCATTAGCTTATGTAGCCATCTTCAAAACCCTTAATTATCTTCTAGGCCTATCTCACATCTACACCCTTCTCTTTGTATCCCATAAGCTTATGTAGCCATCTTCAAAACCCTTAATTATCTTCTAAGTCCCATCTCACATCTACACCCTTCTCTTTGTATCCCATCAGCTTATGTAGCCATCTTCAAAACCCTTAATTATCTTCTAGGCCCATCTTACACCTCCAGCCCAAACCTTTTTAGGGCCTATCCCAATATCATTATAGTGTAAATATAGCTGCTCAGTTTTTTGTCAAGAAATTCACTCCTTCCTTCTTTCTTCAGAATAGATAAATTGATAATATTTACGGTTCATATTTAGCATGTGGAAAATGAAATTTAAGTTTAATATATTATCTCTGTTATTATTCTTTTGTTTTGTTTTCCATGTAACTCTTTAATGTGACCAACTCTTTGTTAAAATTTAATGCAAGAAAGCCAGGGGCAAAATATCTAATGTAGGATGCATGTAACATCCCAATTTTCGCTTCTATAATTTGATTAATATTAGGATATGAATTAGCAAGTAAATTGCGATTTAGAGTAATTAAATTATATTGTTTGAGATATAGAGGCACATAAGATTGTAATTTAATGAAATAGAACATGAATTTGAAAAAAATCCCGACCAAAATAAATTAATATTAATTATAATTTTAAAGCATCAAATTATTATTTTATAGAACATGAATACAAAATTAAAAATAGTAAATATTAATCAGTATTGATTTGAATTTAAAGAAATTATTTCATAGTAGTTGAAAGTTATATGATATTATTTGAGTGGAGATAATTTTCTCAAAAGGGATTAAATTTTAAGGATTTGAGAAAAAAATTGTTGAATGATTGAAATTTTATTATATAAATACACATATAATATGATATAAGATATTATGTTACATATAAAGAAGAAAAAAGGGCTTTATAAAATAAAAAGAAAAAAGGGCATAGGAATGGTGTTGGTGGGCCACGGCCCAATTCAAAATGGCAATTGAATTGCCTAGCTCCACACACACCCACGTGAATCTGAATCAGGGAACCTTCGTCTTCTTCCTCTTGTGCGTCGCGGAACACAGTGAGTGAGGGAGAGTGGGAAATTTTGCAGGTGAAGCTCCCTGATAAGATATTGAAAAAATTAATCATTAAATTTTATAATTTTATTAAATTATAATCTAATCCTTAGATTTTAATTTATTGAAATTCAATTCTAATAATTTTACTCGGATATAATTCAGTATCTAAATTTTAACTTTTTAATTCAATTCTCATAATTTTAATAATTTAAAATATTAATTTTTAAATTTTAAAAATAAAATTATAAA